ATGGGTTAATCTTCTGTTAGATGTGTGATTCCCATCACCTCAATATAGCCTCTAGTGTGGATGTTGTTATGCTGGTGTATACATGCCTTATATGAATATAGTTTATTCCCTTAGGGAAGTGAGTATTCCCCTTCATTCTGCACTGGTGAGGCCACATCTGGAGTACTGTGTTCAGTTTTGAGCCCCCCCCATTACAGAAAGGATGTGGACAAATGGGAGAGAGTCCAGCAGAGGGCAACCAAAATGGTTTGGGGGCTGGGGCACATGACTTTTGAGGAGGGGCTGAGTGAGCTGGGCTTATTTAGTCTAGAGAAGAGAAGAATGAGAGGAGATTTAATAATAGCCTTCAACTACCTGAAGGGTAGTTCCAAAGAGGATGCAGCTAGATTATTCTCACTGGTGACAGATGACAGAACAAGGAGCAATGGTTTCAAGTTGCACCAAGGGAAGTTTAGGTTAGATATGAGGAAAAACTCTCTCACTAGGAAGGCAGTAAAGCACTGGATCAGGTTATTCTGAGAGGTTGTGGGATCTCTATCCATGGATGTTTTAAGGCCCGACTAGACAAAGCCTTCACTGGGACGATTTAGTTGGGGATTACAGTACAGGGTAAAATGTGACCTATATACTTCTCTTAGCTCCCAAACATAACTTTGTTCATAGTAGTTTGCTGGGCCACGCCATGTTTGACTGTAAAATACCATACCCTTCTTTAAGCACTGTAGAACAAATGAGTTATGGTCATGTAATGTGTGGATGTTCAATTCAACTTTCACTCATTTCTAGGGCTGTGTGAAATTTTGCCAGCAGTTTTGTTTCGATGCTGTTTCAACTCATTTCAAGCTCGAAACAGCAAAATTGAAATGAAACAGATAGCTTCAAAACAGCCTTGAAACCAAACGAGGCAAGTTAAAATGTTTCAAAATTTTCGAAACGTTTTGAAGCTCAAGCTGGGCTTGCCTGCAGGGAAACAGAAACTAAAGTAAGGAGAGGGAGGGGGAAGTGTCAGTTGAGTGAGGGTGCACCTTAATTGCGAGTAAGAACCAAGACTCCTGATTGCAAGTAAGAACCCAGACTTAGTAGGGCTCACAGAAACCTGGTGGGACCCTACCTACGACTGGGCGGTGGGCATTCGGTGGTACACCCTATATTGAAGAGCCAGGACAGAGAGGAAAGGTGGGGGAAGGGGTTGCGCTCTATGTCAAAGAGCACCTCACATCATCAAGGATTAGTTTCGGGTTAGAGGAGGATCGGGCAGAGATATTATGGGTCAAACTACAAGGGGGGCGTGGCGAAAGGGACCTTACGGTGGGTGTCTACTACAGACCACCCAACCAGGGGGAAGAGCTAGACCAGGACTTCTCCAGTCAGCTTATGGAGGCGGTTAGGTCAAGGGATGTTATTGTCATGGGTGACCTAAACTACCCAGACATTTGCTGGGAGGAGCAGACAGCCAGGTCTGACCGCTCGCGTAGGTTCCT